AGGGCTTAGTCTCCAAGAGCTGCAGGACCCTGGGCCAGTCTCCCTAACCCTGAAATGCAGCTTCCCAGCCCAGTGCTGAGGGACCCTTCAGCTGTGAGTTACCACAGGGACACCCCAAAGGCAAGGAGCCAAGGGACAGGCCCACACAGGAAACAGGAGAGCGAGGTGTTCACCCCGCCCCCACCGAGCACCCCTGCAGAGCAGGTGCCAGGAGGGGGCACCAGAAGGGGTGCAAGCCCGGTTGGCATAGCAACCAGGAAGCCAGCCGGGGCCTCAAGCAGATCGTTGAGAAACGTGTATTTCCTAATTAAAGTCGGAAAGATGACACTGATCCTAGGGCAGCCATGGGGGACGGGGGGAGCTCTGCTCGGGGGAGCAGTTTAGACGCTTTTAACGACCGGGTCTGCACCCCCACCCTCCTCGTGTCTCTCTTTTACGGTAAAACTCCCAGCCTGACCAGAGACCACAGCCCGGCTGCCAGAGTCCTCAGAACGCCCAGGTCTCACGAGCCCGCCTGCCCCTGCTCCTGGACCGCCGGCCACGGGCCCTGGAAAGGCCGGAGGGCGTGGGGAGGGGTCTCCCCTCTTGGGGGGCAGGTGGTGCTTGGCTGACCACACAAAGACACATGGAGTGCGGGGGGCTGGACAGAGGCGGGCCCCCCTCCCGGTGCCTGCCAGGCGGCTGGAGCGTGCTGGAGGCGGGGGGCACCGTCTCGTCCCGCCGGCCTCCAGAGTTCTGCAGATAAACAGTCTAAATTAGGAATTAAAACATGCCTTGTTCCCACCAGCCGGCAGGCCGTATTTCAAACGTGCAGGAAACACTCCTACTGCGGCCATGAGCCCCGAACGTCCCAACGTGATTCTGCAAGATCGCCCAAGCGGGGGGGGGCCTGGAGGGGGTCCCGCGCCCCTGCTACCACGGCAGTTGGGCTGCCCTGCCTGGACCTCCCGTCAGCCCCCAAGAAGACAGGAGGGAGTATCCCACAGCGGGGCTCCTCCCGCTGCCCCCTGGGACGTTCCTGGGGGCCACACAGCAGGCGTGGGGAGCCCCGTGGCCATCTGTGGAGGGTACAGGCCTGGAAAAAGACCCCGCTCCCTGCCCAGAGGGAGGCCTGGGTGGGCACGGAGTGCAGACTCCCATCCTCAGGCACTGCCTGGGACTCAGGGAGGGGGGCAGGTTGCGGGGAGCCCCTTCCTCCCTGAGCTCCGGTCCAGGGCTCCCCCCGCCTGAGGCTTCCTGCCCAGCCTGCTCCCCGTGGGACCTGCAGGGGTCCTGCCTGGAACAGGGTGCTGCTCTGGGACAGAGAGAGCTCCGTGGTGGAATTCCAGGCATCAGTCAGCAGAACGGAGGGGCCCACTCCAGAATTCCAGATGCCTGCCCAGGCTGGGGGCTGTCTGCTCTGCCAGGGGTCAGCGGGTGGGCCTGGGGGCAGGGGAGGGCCACTGGGGCTAGTCCAGGGGACGCCACCTTCCCCGGGGGTGGGCCTGGGAGAGGACTTGGGGCCAAGGTGGGAAAAGGTGGCATGTCAGGAATGGGGAGCATGGAGGCAGGGGGTGAGGCTGCACCAGAGGGCGGGTCCCTCCCAGAGGCCCCTGCCCAACACAGCCACCGCCTGAGTCTCCCCAGGGCAAGGAGGAGAAGCTGCTTTCTGGTGTGTCTGCTCCAATCTCTTCCCCAGCCCCCCACGCAGTCCCTCTCGGGCTGTCCCCACCCCACACCCCTGTCAATCCCAGCCACAGCGAGCATGGCAACTGTGAGAGGGACGCGGTCTGACCCACAGAACCCCGCCGGGGGAGTGGACGCCAGGGCTCGCTCCAAACACCACCCAGCTGCCTCAGGCTGGGAGGGTCACCGAGCCCCGGGAGACACCCCATTCACATGGCCACTCACCAAATGTCCACTTAGACACCCCGGTCACAGAGAAGTCACGGCTGCCCAGCCCCTTCTGCCTGGGATCAATGTCTCCATGAGCAAGTTGAGACTGACATTCCTTCAGGAAACAAACCAGTCAGCGCTAAGAAGCCAGACTGGGACCACAGTGGCCGCTGACGCGCTGTGCAGATGTCCATGGGGGCCGCAGGCATGAAGCCATCAGGCTCGGCAATGGCAGAGAGCGGGGCAGGAAGGGCCCCTGGCTGACGTGTGCAGGGGGGCCATGGGCCCCCAAGAGGGGCCACCCTCTGATGTAACAGCTGCCCTCAGCCCATGGTGGCAGCCCAGGGAGGGGACACCCGAGGCTGAGACGTGCTACAGGCGGGGACAGGGTCTAGGAGGCTTTCAGGTCTCCTCGCCCCACCAGCACCCATCCCTCTGCCCACCGGCCGCTCAGCTGAGAAAGTGGAGCAGTTCCCAAACCCCATTACCGCCCTCGGGACAAGACCCCAGCCTCTCGTCTAACAGACGTCCCATGACTCCTGGTCGGCCCAGCCTGAGAAAGGTCCAGGCCGGGCCTGGCGGGACCTGGAGACCCAGACGCAACCACAGGTCGAGGCTGGGGAGCTCCAACGGCGATGTGGGGAACGGAAACCTCGGCTGGGGTCACCGCCCAGCAGCCCACCTCCCTCCCTTCTCTGGCCCCCACTCCCAAAACCCCAGGACTGTGGCCCCTTGACATCAGATCAGTCTGCCATCTAAAATTGCCTAGAACCTTCTGCACATCCTTCCCTGCTGCCCTGAGCATCCCTGAGCCATCAGCCTCGGGCCCTGGGCAGTAGCATCCCCAGAGGCAGGGGGGCTCTCCAGGACCTGAGACCCCCGCCTGGGCTCTCCTCCACATGCTGCCTGGTGGGCGGGGGCACCATGGGGCTGCAGGGCCGCCTCCCCCCTCACCCAAGGTCAGCAGGACCCTGCGAGGGCGCTGTCAACGGAAGGAAGCCCTGGGCAAAGCCACATGGAGGCTATGTGTCTACGCCCAGGGACTGTGAGAACAAGTGTTGCCCCAGTGAGCCCCACGTCAGGCCCGCCGTTTGACACTCACTGACCGGGGTATCTTGGAGCGGGGTGTTACCAGGGGGCCCCAGGCGGGCAGAAGCTGGACTGAGGGGCTGTGGCCAGAGGAGCCCACGTGGGCCGGGAACCCTGCTCAGTGCTCCAGGGGGCTCAGGGAGACCAGAGAGCCCCAGAGTGGACGGCAGGACCCCGCCAGGACTGTGGGGGCGCTGGGGAGAGGCCTTCCCCAGAACCTCCCATGCGGAAACCCTCCGAACGGAACTATGCTTGGAGATGAGCGTTTCAACAGGACGTTTAGGTAAAATAAGACCTAATCCAGCATCCCCGACGTCCTTGTAACAGGGAGAACAAGACACCGACACGCACAGAGGAAGGACACCGGGAGGAGCCAGCCCCGTCCACGCCTGGGTCTCGGACGCCCAGCTTCCAGCACTAGGACATGATAAACGTCTGTGCTGTGTGTCGGCTGGAGTCCCTTGTCATGGCAGCCCAAGCCCACGGGCAGAGACAAGCCAGCCCCACACCGAGGGAGTCGGGAGAGGGTGCCCCCAGCCACTCCCTGAGCTGCACTCAGAGCTCACCCGCAGTGGGGGAGGAGGCTCACAGGGGAATCGGGGCCCACAAAACACACTGGGCACCGCCCTCACGGAGACCCCCATTCCTACCAGAGCTGTGTGGAGACTGCCTCCTCCAGGAAGCCCTCCCTGCACCACCACATCTCCTATGGGGACAACTGCGCAGAGCCGCCTGCCTCCCACCTGGCACCCACTCAGGCAGCCGTAGGGTGTCCCAGAGTGGCCACTGAAAGAGCCCAAATCACCGAGTCAGCAGCCTCCCCGCCCGGCTGGCCCTGTCGGAGAGCTGGGCCCGGGGCCGACGGCCGGACTACCGACAGCAGGGTCCATCCGCTCCAGGTGGCTGAGCTGGGGGTCTTGCACAGACACTCGGGGGCAGGAAGCAAGGAGGGGCTCAAGGACACACAGCACCGTCGCCCACCGCACGGGCTCCCACCGCACGGGCTCCCGGGGCTGAGCCGACAGGGTGGATGGTCACCGTGGGCATTCCACACGTACCTCCTGCCTGTCAAGATGGGCTGGGGGCTGCCGGAATGCACCCTGGCCTCGGAGGACTCACATCCACCTTGCAGGCTGCAGGCGTCCACGCTCCTTCTAGAACGTTCTCCCACCGCCAGGCCTAGGCCACACGGAGGCCTGGGTGCCAGCCCAGGGGCCCAGGCCACCTCCCACGGCCCTGAGTGGCGCACGGCTCCCCCACTCAGCATTTACGGAGCGCCCACTACGGGCCAGCCCTCCACCTGCAGCACGTGTGGTGAGCCCAGTGAAGAACTGACCCTCCACCGCTTCTCTTCCCAGCAAACACCACGGGCTCCAGGTGCCCATTTCCTGTGGCTGTGGGACCACACATGGGGCCCGTGGGGTGGGGAGGGCAGGTTGCTCGTGGAGATGAGTGTCTGGGAAGGCTGGGGGCCTAGGGTCTGCATTCCGGGAGCAGCCCTGCGCTCGCTAAATTGCTTTATGTAAGTTGGGCCAGGCCAGGAAACCAGGAGCCCCGGCTGGGGATTAGTGACAGGCGTTGCCACGGCAACCTGATCAGTGGGAAACATGTCGTCTCTGGGAGTGCAGGGCTGCTCGGCAAAGGTAAAAGGAACCCCAGAGATTCATTAGCAACAGGTTCCCATGGCAACCGCTCCAAGCTCATTAATAATTTTTTTTCTTATTCCAAGTGTGGGTGTTGAAATTCTCCAGAGGGCTGAAAAAGGAACGGATGCCGGACGGACACGCACACACACACTCACACGCCAGTTACTCCCACCTGCTGCCCGGCACCATCCGCCCGGCACACGCCTCGCCCCACCTGTGTGTCCATGTGGAGTCAGGACACGAGGCCTAGCAGGCCCCTTGGTTCCGATGGCCCCGCCCTGCCTGGGCGATCCCTCACAGGGAGATCCAGATCTGGGGGCTGCCAAGACCACCTCCCAGGGGATGCCCCAAAGTGTCCACAGGAAGGGAGGCGGGGAGCATCCTGCTCACACAGCGTCAGGCTGGGCATGGCGCCTGACGCTCGCCGGCTGCGTCCTTGGGGACGGCCGCCAAAGCTACTACCGAGCTACTCAGAGACCCCATGTTTGGCGGGGCCTAACAAGCAGACACCGCCTTGGAAAACACATCGGCAGGTCCACGCACGATTCCACACAGCAATTCCGCTCTTGGGTACGTACCCAAGAACACCGAAAACAGGTCCAAACAGAACTCACATACGCTGCACGGCTGGTCGGCTCACAGCACCCTGAAGGTGGAAAGAGCCCAAGAGCCCACCAACGCTGGCACGGACACGCCGTGGTCCATCCACACAGCGGGACACAGGTCAGCCACCAAGGAGAATGAAGCCCTGACATGTGCTACGGCGTGGCCCCAGCCGGAGAACATGACGCTCAGAAACAGAAGCCACGTGCAAAGAGCCATGCGGCGTGGGATTCCATTTCTATGAAACGCCCAGAAAAGGCAGATCCAGGGACACAATGCAGATCAGGGGCCGCCAGGGGCTGGGGTCTCTCTGGGAGGATGAGAAAGTTCCAAAATTGACAGTGAGGGCCGCACAGCTCTGTGGGGACAGTAAAAACCAGTGAATCGTGTGCTTTCTGTGTGAGTTGTGAGGGGACACATCTGTGACAGCACGAGTGGGCGTCTGCTCAGAATTCCAGAGGCTGTGCAGGGACCTGCCCTGAGGCGCACCTTCCCAGCGGGACACAGACCTCAGGTGCTATGTGCCCCCCAGGGCTGACACCGAGGCAGGGCCCCCCAGCTCCACCCTGGCCAGGTGCCCCGCCCCCCCCACCCCCGAGAAAACGTGATGATGCAGGGAATCCCCGCTGCTGAGGGGCGGTTGCTGGGTCTGAGTCGGTGGACGGGCCGCTTCTCCCTGTGCTGCCCGTCTGGGAGCCGGCTCCGGAGTGGAGGAACGCAGAGACGCACTGTCAGCGGGCATACGGGCCCGTTCCACACTCCACCTGCGTGCTGCCATTCACGGCCCAGGGCAGCCCCTGACCCGATTCGGAGCCGCAAACCCGGGGGGCTGCTGGGTCACGCTGAACAGGGGGGCAACAGGTCTGGCCCCAGAGGCAGAGAAAGGAATGTGGCGGGGCAGGAGGCCTGTCTGCACGTCAGGACGGGGCAGTGGGCAGGGACGGCAGCCCCCCCGGGTGTGCTCAGGGTCAGCCTGGGCCCTCCAAACCCCCAAAGCCCAGACACGTCTCCTCTCTGCCCCGGTGCCCCCTCCCCCGGGCCCACCCTGCCTCTGCCCACAGGTTCCTGTGGTCTGCATCCCCCTCCTTAACCAGGTGACCCCTGTTTCACGGCCGATTAAAAACAAACAAAAGCTCTGGAACATTAGAAACTGTCAGGAATGCCCGGTTCTAAAACGTGATGCCGTCGTCTGTGGTTTTCGGTCTGTCAGCCTGCGCCCCAGGCCTGCCCGGTGCCCACATCCCCGGTGCTGATTCTGACTTCTGAAACGTTCCGGGGACGGTGGCATGGGCCTCCAGGCCCCAAGCAATCACGGCTGAGAGGGACCAGGCGCAGAGTTCCCAGGTGGCGGCCCCATCCCCCCACACTCGGCCAGTGTCCCCCCCACCCTACTCTCCCCATATCCCGTCTGCCTGCACCTTCCCGTGTCCCTGCCCCCGCCAGCGGCCAGCAGCCCCCTCTTGGCCTCCTGATGGCGGGGCCGTGCGCCCCAAGTGATGTGTCCTTCAGGTCCCGGGTGCCCCTGAACCAGATCTCCGCGAGAGGCGCCTGCAGGGCACTCTGGCGAGCTCAGAACTTCAGGAGCTGGGCCTGCCACACCCGAGGGCACATCACACGCGTGCCAGATACACCGGGCCAGCCTGTGGCCAGAGCCGCATGGTTGCCCTCCCAGCAGCCCAGGCCCCAGGCCGCGTCCCAGTCCGCATCCACAAGGCGCTAATGCAGGCTGACTCATCAGACTGCGGCCGGCTGGCGACCGGTGCAAAGACAAAGGGACGCAGCAGGCAGACGATGCCGCGTGGCCCCCACCTGGCCCAGGGGACGCCCTCTGTGCCTCCAGACACAAGCTCCGTCTCTGCGGGGGGCTGGGCCTGCCGACAGCACTGGACACTCCCAGGCCACACAGAAGCCCGGTGCCCCTTCCAGGCCCACCACCCGATGCGCTCCATGCCAGGTCCCTGAGCCCACTGCCCTTTACAGGGCACGCCAGGGCCCACCCACCACCCACCCATCCCTCTGCCCACGGTCACCCCTGCAGCCTGGGAGCAACCATCTCCCCGGCCTTCATGCCATGGCCCCAGCAGGGCCTGGCTCTCATCCAGCGCCCCCCCCGCCCCCACCACACAGCCAGGCCATGCCACGGCACCCTGAACGAGGCCCCGGGAAGCTGGGGGTCACCAGGAAGGCAGCACACCCTCCTCACCCAAGAATGGAGAGCTGGACTCTGGGGTTGCGGGAGGGTCCTCGGGGAGCCCACCCCAGACTGGGGACAATCTCTTCTCTGGCCACCCCCTACCCCTCTGTGGCTTCTCAGAGGGGAACAGGGCCAGCCCCCCAGAGTCTCTGCCGCTACAGGGTGGGTCCCTGGCTGGGAATCCAGCCCCGGCAGCCGCCCTCACTGCCCCCGCAGAAAGTCATCTGCCTGACCGCAGGTCACAGAACGGAGTCAGGCTGGGCTCGACCTGGGGCTCCGTCTATGGCCCTGACACCCTACCTGTATGTCCCTGGGGCTGCAGGGAAGCACGGGGCGGGGGGTGGGGCACTGGTGGAGTGAGGGCCTCAGACTCCAGAGGGGTCTCCGTGGACCCTGTTCTGGGGGGGATAGGCCAGCCCAGCGGAAAGAGACCTGCAGAGCTGACATCACAGACAGATACTTCCCTGGGGAAGTGCCCCCAAGCCGACGGCCCCCCATGAACCCCGGAGGACACAGGCACAGAGACTGGAACAGTCCCTGTCCCTCCTCACTGTGGAGCCCGGCATCTGACACCCTGACGGGGCCCAGAGCAGGAGGGACCCCCTAGGCTCACAGCCCACCCTGCCTCTCTGCCTGTGACTTCAGAGGCACACACTCCATCCACCCCAAATTGCTCAGATGACTGACTGATTTCACGGTCGGTTTTCCCTCTCCCCGGGTGGCTCCTTGTCAGACAGCCTGACACGGCACAGCTGAGTGTGATTCATCTTAAAAAGGACTCCCTCCCGTCAAGACACCCAGCACCTCCTCTTTCTCCCTCTGGGGGGATAGCGGAGGGCATGCTCAGGGTGTGCGAGGTGGGGCAGGGGAATTCAGCCCGGAGGTGTCGGCACGCTGCCTCCTTCCGGGAACCCCCAGGTTCTGGCAGCTGCAGGAAAGCCTAGGCATCCGCGGACCCCTCACCCCAACATCTGCCTCTACCTTCACGTGACCCTATGCTTAGTCTGCATCTGTCTTTCCTGCTCTCCTGAGCACACGGCCACCGTGCCCAGGGCCCCCCAACTCCAGACTGACCTTGTCTCACGTCGGCTATATCCACAAAGACCCCACTTCCACGGAAATCCACGTTCTGAGGTTCCTGGTGGACGTGAACTCAGGGGATACTATTCCTGCCAGGACATTGGCTCACATGTGCCCGCTGGTGTGGACAACGTGCACACCCCCAGAGCCACCCCAGGCCTGGGTGAGGAGGAACAGGGAGGAGGGACAGGGACTGCTCCAGTCTCTGTGCCCGTGTCCTCCGGGGTTCCTGGGGGGCCGTTGGCTTGGGGGCGCCTGCCCCTGACCCAGCCTGGTGGCTCTGCCCAGGCCGCCCCAAAATGCCCTGGTGTAAGGAGGGGCACCACCTCTGCCGAGCCCCCAACACCGCCACCTTCGCGCTTCTGTTTCCCTTTGCCCCCTCCGTCGGCTCCCTGGGGTCAGCGAGGACCCCTCCCCAGGCCAGCGCCAAGGGCAGAGCCCAGATGATGCACCATAACCAAGTCCACAAAGGTTACCAAAGGCCGTGCAGCTGGGAAGCCGGAGGTCACCCAGGAGGCAGGAGGGGTTCAAAGATCGCCTCTGGGGCTCCAAGTGGGCAGTGTGGGTCGTGGCCTCAGGCCTGGTGCCTGAGAACCTGGGGGGCTTGCTCCCACAGGTGCCACCCAAAGGCCATCGGGGAAGACCCTGACCCTAACCATCCCCAACAAGCCCGGTCCCTCCAGCCCAGGGGGTACGCAGCACTCTGACCATGGTTCAGCTGGTGGCCCCCAGCTCCCCGGCCTCCCCCGCCAGCTGAGACCTCACGTTGCTGCTCCAGTGGGTGGGGGTCGAGTGGGGATGGGAGGCTGTGGGAACCCAGCGGCCCACAGACAGCCAGGACACAGGCCCCTCCCTCAGACCACGAAACACAACCCCAGGACGAGTCCTTGTTCACCACGGCCCTCAGCTTCGGGGTGGTGGCCCAAGTGGCCCCAGCCTCTGACACAGGGATGGGGTCTGGAGTAGGAGGCCCCCCCAAGCTCAGAAACCACCTCTGCCTCGCCGCCTTGGACCTCAGGGTCACATATCGTGTCCACCCCAACAGCTCTGCTCTCTTTCTAAAGAACATGCCCCTCAGCCTCTCCCTGCCTCGTTCACGTGTCCAAGACTGCTCACCCCACATGCAGGCCGGGGCTAGGGGACCCCAGGGAGGCCCGCATGCTCTCAGAGCCGGGGACAGGATGGAGCAAAGCCCAGGGGTCTTCAGGGCCCTCTCCCTGGCCAGCCGTGGACTGGACTGGGCCCCTTCACCTGCTGATCAGGGCCCCTGTGAACCCCACATTATCTGACCAAAGAGACAATCAGGACCGTGTGAGGGAAAACCGAAACAGGTGTGGGGCCACCACCGGGCTGCGGGAAGGGGTACTAGGAACACTCAAGGAATCCCGGAAGGCTCTGGGGCCCTCCTGGGGTGAGGGGGCTCTGACTTCGGGCCACCCTCCCTGCAGAAATGTTGTTGTCCCCCACCCCTCTGCCCCACGGCCAGCAAGGAGCTGAGACACCGGGTCCTGCTGGGCCACACCCTCCACACC